AAAAAAAAAAAAAAAATACAGTATCATCCCCAAAGTATGCACCATATGGAAAACATATTTATGAAGGGTTTTTCGACAACATGTTATTTTTGATAAAAGTTTGTGCATTCCCTAAAACTAAACATGCACCAACAAAATACAGTAAAACACACGTAATATACGAGGAGCCTTCAAATATTTGATTTTGAGACAAGAGTAAAGTACTCTTATTTTGAAAAATCTGGGAAATGTTATTTAGAAAAGTTGTTCAGCATTAAAAAATATATGTGAAGTTTTATTTTTCTACCCATTTTGTTAAATGGGGACTACGCTTTGTATATTTAGGAAGGTCCAATATTGGAGCTATGAAGAAAAAATAGCTTGCTGATGAAGTAACATCACTGAAACACTGAAGAAAGTTAGAAAGTTGTCTCATTCTCCAATTTTTGTAACAAATCAATTCGTTCGATTGACTGGAGGATAATTTGTGAATAGGAACACAGGAATATTTAAAATTTTTTTTTCTTATACATTTGTACCGCTCCTCAATACAGTCATCATGCATTATTTTGGTTTCTGAAACGATAAATCACAATCCCCTTGGATATATAACGTGACAAACAATTTTATTATTAATAACATTATCAAATTCAAAACCTGGTTGAAAGGACATTAACTGGTCAGAAATCCTCTTGTTTCACACCAGAACTGAGAAAAGCTTCCACGAAGTTCATTTCTATCATTTTGTTTCACAAGAATAAATTAAAATAGTAAATTTGTCTTCCCTTCCTTCTCCTTCTTTTCCCAATTCATTCCTTATTGTAAAAATAATTTCACTACTTAAATTGATTGAAATGTTTGCACAGATTTCTTTAAACAATGCATAATTTGAACAACCCTGTATATGTGCTACAATCTTCAAAGTCGAAATCATTGAGTCGATTTTTCAAATGCTTATCGATGAAAAAATTTACGACGTTAATTATCTTCAGAAAGAGTATACCTGATGAAAATTTTTACTTTCTCTTGAGGATCTAGTAGTGAAGGTCATTACATCAGTTAAAGTGTTTTTGAGAGACATATCATAATGTTTACGCCTATTAAAAAGTGAAATTTGCTCCCATTCACGATAGTTTTATGAGAAATCAGGTTTCAGATCGCACCACAACAATGAAAGTATAAAATACTTGAGAATTAGTTTATTATCGTTTCAACTTAGAGGATAGCACATAATTATTTCGAGGAGAAGACTGAATAAACTACTGGATCAGTGAAAAAGTTTCATTTTCTCAAAACAAGTGTTGTTGAATCAATCAATCAATCATACAGGGTGTAACATAAGTAGGTTGAAATATTCAAGTGACGTATTCCTGAGACAATTTTAAGAGAAAAAGTCTATATGAACTTGTGCTTGTGTGTGAAAATGCTTCGTTTCGGAGATACGGGGTGTTGAATTTTAATTTTTTGTTCGCTTTTTGAAAATAACTCTTGCAAAAAATAAGTTATTTGCACAAAATTCGGTACCCGGTTTTTTTTGACGTGGGAAAACATAATTTCCTATTAATTTTCATGTAACATCTAGAGGGCGCTGCGTACGCTGTCATTATTTATTTCAAATTGCCCTAACTTTTTTGACAGTAAACTTTTGGTACTTTTCATAAAAAAACCTAATTCCCATACCTTTTCCAACTAAAAAAGATACACCTCCTCAACAACGCTGGAGGTGATCCATAGCATTACGCCATACATCAAATTTGACTGAATTTCTGGAAAATAAAATTTTTTCAGGTAGTTCCTATCGCCATGGGTCGTTGATTCTGATTCTGTCAAAACATTGGAACATTATAGTACTTGTATTATGTATATGGTCATGCCAGCTGAGTGTTGCTTCTAAAGTCAATCCAAGAAATTTCACAGAAATGTTTCGGTTTATGTGTACATCGTCAAGTTTCAAAGATATTTGATAGTTTGTAGTCCTTTGTCTAGTATGAAAGATTAAGTATTCTGTTTTTTTGGTATTGAGATACAGTTGATTGGCAGAGAACCATTCCTCAAGTTTCACTAGTAACATATTGTAGTTGTCCTTGTTAGTCAGAATGCCTTCGCGGTCTACTGAAAAAGCTGAATCATCTACATACAACATTATATTGTATTCTGGTAGATTTTCCAATAAGTTAGCAATGAACAGTGTGAACAGTACTGGAGCTAGTACAGTACCTTGAGGAACGACTACTTCCAGCTTAACGGTTTCTGAACGATGCCTACTCACTGATCCTTCTGAGATATTTCAACAAACTGACTTCTGTCCAACAAATAGGATGAAACCAGTTTTCCACCCAGCCAGAGCTTCGTGAGCAGTGCCTCATGGGGAACACAATCATTTGTTGAATGATGTGTGTCATTTCATGTAGTACAATAGTAGTAGGTGTTTTCCAATATCAGTTATTCGTCATTTTTACATTGTTCTTTTGTTTTGTTCAAGCTAACGATGATCTACTTCTAAGGTGCTGTTCGATTAATTTGTCGACAAACGGATGAATGTACATTAATTCTTTAAGAGCCATATGGAGTGACAGCGCCAGATTGAAAATCGCGAAAACACTTTGTGAAGAAAGGAGATGTTACATAAGAAATATGTATAGGGGGAACTTATCGATGATATAACGAAGAATGTCGCTATCTCATTGTTTTCCATTTATTTTTCCAAACATGTTTTTAACTTTTTATTCCTTTGACGAATTTCAAAATTTTGAAGATAGCGACATTGTACGATTAAATATAGTCAACTTCTTCACAAAATAAAAACTGAACACATATTAGAGTAGAGAAGGGTTTGGCAACATCGCTGTTAGCGAAACACCCGTCGATATACAGATGTTTCCCACTTAGTGTCGGTCCTCTTCACCAATACGTCTAAGAATGGCAATTCATTGTGGATTTCCTTCTCCATTGTGAAAGTGATAGAGGGTCTTTCGCTGTTGATGTGTTTCAGGAAGACGTCTAGTTCAGTATTTCCACAGTTCCATATTATAAAGGTGCCGTCAACGTATCTCAAAGAGACACGAGGTTTCTTGTGAGCTTCTTCAATGGTCAGAGTTTCAAATCACTCCATATACAGTGTCACCATTAAAGTGCGCACCATATGGGAAACTTTTTTGTCGAAATGTTTCAATAAAGTTTAACTTCCACTGAACGTCAGTGGGTCGCAGTTGGCTGCATCATTTTAAGTTAAATTTAAAGCACAAACAAGTGCCGAAGTTAAACTTCATTGAAACTTTTCGAAATAAAAGTTTCCCATATGGTGCGAATTTTAATGGTGACACTGTATATGTTGGCTATGACTGGTGAAGGTGGCGATCCAATTGGCAGTCCCTCATCTTGTGTAAAGAATTCTACTAGTAGTTCGACAAAATCCCTCGAATTTTTCACAAAAGACGACGTTTTTCCTTGTAATGGTTGTATTATGAGGAGTAAAAATCTAGATAAGTTTTGTGTAGCCGAGTCTCGGGAGCTGATGATCGGTCTGAGCGGAACGTCCTTCTTATGGACCGATCAGTCATCACGATTGTTGATGCTAACAATCGAAACGTTGTGAAGTAACTTGGCTTGAAATCTCTTAACTTTTTAATTTTATTTTCGATATTCTGATCAATTTATTCCCTTTTTACTTGTATTTTATTTCACTATTATTTCATTTCAGGTTTTTTTTGCTTAATATAATTGTTTTTTCAGCTATTCATTTGTAGTCTTGTTCATTAATTTTTTAATTCTTCTTTTTTAGTTCTTTCAGGGATTTCAAATCATTTTATATAATATCAGACAATGGAAGTCCGAACTAATGAAATTCAATATTCATCAGTGAAAACATTTTTAAATTACGGTCCTGTCGTTACTTCTTCTGTAAATTGTTTCGATTTCTTCAAAATATAATTCAGATAACCCAATAAATTCAGGTAGGTCTGAAGTATTATGGAGAAATCTCGTTCTCTCATCAAATATTACATATAGATGGAATGTGGAGTTGAAAATTTAATATTTTGCTCAACTGCCCATAATTGCTGTTGATGAATTCAAATGTTTTATGGAGCATGATCAACTCACCAAACTATGTCGGTTTTATGAAACTTTCGAATATCTTAAACGACCTAGTCCTAGGAATGTATCTCCTTTCACCGAATATTCGTGAAAAATAATTGTCCAGGTATTCTGCATTATTAATTGCTAAGATTTAAGTTAAAGAATGAAACGAAGTTACTTACCGTTGAAATTCGGGGAATGAGGAGAACAAGACAAACTCATTAAGACCAAAGCAGCATTACATTCATCCATTTGATTGTCTTTTAGGTTGTCTTCTTGGCTGAAGCTCGGTCGTCTTTTCCGAGATCTGCAAAGAAAACGATTTTTTGTAACATTTAGGTGTTTGTAAGGATTTTATGCAACCGCAGTACTTAAATGTTAATCAAAATCAAAACCAAATGTTCTTTATTTACTATTCTCCATACAATTTTAAGGTATTTTTTTTGTGGTGTGGTGTTTATGAAATATATACAAAGAGATATATACAAATATACAAAATGTACACAAGGGTTAACCCTATGGAGTGGGACAGTGGGAAGGATTGGGATGGGTAATGAATGGGGTAGAGGGAGTGGCAGGAAAAGACCCCGATACATTTGCGCTCTCAAGAATTCCGCACAGAAAAGAAAAGCGCCCCCACACAGTCCCCCGATGGGGCAGTGGGAGACGCCCCCGCTGGTGTTGGCGGTTGGCTCTCCACTCAAAAAAAACGAGAAACTGGACTTCAAATATTGCTCAATATTACTGCTATTTGAATATGAACAATATAAAATCAGCATTCACTTTAAATTTTAAAATGATTAACAAGATAGATAACAAATAAAGAATCGAATTATAAAAAAAACCCTATATATATAAATTGATGTATATGCAAAAAATTAGGCATATAATCGGCCTATTTAGTTTGAATATGTACTTTGCATGAAATCGAGTATAGAATAACAACAATTTCGTATTCTTCTCTTTGATTTTCCTTTTGAACGAATTAAAATTCATCTGTCACCTTATATGGAAATTTCAGTAATTTAACGCCCAAAGAATTCTGTAATGACATTTCAAGTTTAAATATTGGCTGTCTGAGTTGTCCCGCATTTCTCGTTTCATAATTATGATAATCTGTGTATGGAGAGTAATATTTTGTTTTTATGTATTTCTAACAGTGAGTAGAAAATCAACATACACGACAAAGGCATTATTCCCAATTTTCTAACAAGTAGTGGATAATGTGCGTTGAATGGAGCTCCAGCTATAATTCTGATGGTATTTTTCTGCATGCGAAAGCTCTGATCGCGTAAGTAAATCTACCCCAAAGGAGTATCCCATATGGAAGGTTACAGTAAAATAGGTTATGATACGATGTGAGAAGTGTTTTTTGGCTCAAAGCTTTTTTTAACTGGCGAAGTAGAAACAACTGTGTCGAAAGTTTTTTTACAGATATAGTCAATATGTAATTCCCATCGAAGTGAATCATCCATAATTACATCTATTAATTTGACTTGAGCTTTGGTTGCTATCCTGGTATTAGAAGATATAAGTATTTACAGGGTTTTTCACTGTTAAGTTTCAGTTTGTTGGTTTTAAACCAGTATTTTGGTTTGTCTTGGATAAAAGGTAATAGAATATAGTATTTATATACAGTGTGACCCATTTTTAATGGAAACACCCCCCTGAAATTTGAAGTTGAAAATCGATTTCAATAATTTTTTTTTTAAATGTCAAGTACACAATTTGAAATGTTTATTGAAGTTCCAGGGCATACTACGATATTTTTTCTTAGTCGCAAATCGGGATTTTTTATTAGCGATTTTTTTATTGCAAAAATCACTACGCCACTGGATTCAGAGTGCCTCTAAATAGGTGTGACCAAAATTTCATGAAAAAATATTCATTATTAACAAAGTTATGACAACTCAAAAATTCGAAAACTCACACAGCTAACAGTCACAATATATAATTTTTTTTATGATTTCAACAATAAAGTGCCGCCAGATGAAAAAAAAACAAATAGCGTAAATATTTTTAATGAAAATAACGGAATTACATTCACAAAATTCAACTAACAATGAAGCAAAAAATTTTAATAAACGTAACGAATAACTAATTATTGAAATGTTTCGATTCAGTGCAACAATTAATTCTAACTCATATTCTAGTAGCCTCTACTAATCCACCACGTATTTCGATACATGTGTCGTAGCGCTTACGAATGTTTCTGATTACGTTCTTGAGGGCTAATATCTGCACATACCTGTCGAATTCTTGCACAAAGATCATTTCTATCTCTTGAGCGGTTTTTGTATACCTTTTGTGTGAGAAGTCCCCAGAGAAAAAAGTCCAAAACTGTGAGGTCTGGAGATCAGGGTGGCCACTCCAAAAACAGACTACTACGGCCTATCCATCGGCTTGGAAAATGTTCGTTAAGCTATTGCCTCACGGCTCTGGCATAATGAACTGAACACCCATCTAACTGGACAATTAAATTTGATCGTTCATTGATTGGCAGCTCGTGAATAGCATCCCAAAACTCTTGTGTTTAAAAATTCTAGAAACCTCTGCGCATTAATGTTTTCCTCAAAAAAGAAAGGACCAATAATTCGTTCGTTCAATATCCCACACCAGACGTTGATTTTTCGGGAATCCTGGCTTTTACAGTTTATTACCCAGTTAGGATTATCCGCTGCCCAATAGCGACAATTCTGTGATGACACTACTCCGTTTGTAGTGAAAGTGGCTTCGTCGGTATATAAAATATTTTTTAGGAAATTTCTATTGTTTAAATATTCCCCTTGGGCCCATAAACAATATTCCAGGCGACTTGCTTCGTCGCCTTCTTGAAGTGTGTGTAAAAATTTTGGCTTGAAAGGTTTAATATCCTTCGCCTTGAGACATCTCCGAATAGTTTCTAAAGTGGCATTCCTTATACTGGCATTAGGATTATTTCCGAAATAATGTAAAATGATTTGATCATTCCTGTTTTGTCTTTGTACAGGATTACTTTTTAACATCATTTTTGATACTGCACCAGTTTCATTGAATATTTTATTTATTTTATTTACCGTACCGCAGCTAATACGAGGACGATTTGGATGTCTCTCATTAAATACTTTATAAACCTCTCTAGCACTTTTAACGCCATCTCCGGAAAGGCGTACAATTTCAATTGTCTCTCTTACGCTCAATCTTGCAGCCATGACACAAAATAATTCGAAGAACTGTTAGGTGAATGTTGTTGACAATAGTACACTTGAATCTTTCACAAGTGTCAAACTGTAATATCATTTCCATGGCAACTAAGATTTAAATTGAAATATTAGGTTTTTTTTTTGGAATAAGTACAAAAACATTCTATTAAAACAACGATAAAAATAAAAAAAAAAAAACAATAAAAATTAAAATTGGCACTCCGGGGCGACTTCATTGATTCCAGTGGCGCATTTGCTTTTTCAGCTGCAGGAAAACCCGGAAAAACCAGCAGCACCACATCATCTGAAGATCTTGATCTAACAATGTCCTCTCTCTTATTAAACAAAATGTAGGGTGTCTCCAGAGACTCCAATAAATTCAATGCATCGCCAGAACACTTCGTGACACGACTATCGTCAAACTTAAACCAGTCCGTTTCGTATTTGACCAAGTCGTAATAATGACCAAATTCAACGCCAGAACCACAGTTAACAATGACTGCATGAATATTATAATGGGGGTCTGCTGCTAGGTCTTAGTTTTAGTTAATTTGCGTGAAACCTTGAATGTAATTCCGTTATTTTCATCAAAAATATTTACGCTATTTGTTTTTTTTTCATCTGGCGGCACTTTATTGTTGAAATCCTAAAAATATATTCTCATGGCTATATCTGTTGATATAGGGTGTTTTTTGTGACTGTTAGCTGTGCGAGTTTTCAAATTTTTGAGTTGTCATAACTTTGTAAATAATGAATATTTTTTCATGAAATTTTGGTCACACCTGTTTAGTGGCACTCTGAATCCAGTGATTTTTTCAATAAAAAAATCGCTAATAAAAAATCCCGATTTTCGACTAAGAAAAAATATCGTAGTATTCTCTGGAACTTTAATAAACATTTCAAGTTTTGTCCCAAGGTAGAATTTTAGTACTTGATATTTCAAAAAAAAATTATTAAAGTCGGTTTACAACTTCAAATTTTAGGGGGGTATTTCCATTAAAAATGGGTCACACTGTAGATAACAAGATGGACCCAAGATGGATCCCTGAGGTATTCCATGATGCATATACCTTTCATTTGATAAATTACTATTTACGTATACTGCCTGCTTTCTAGATGAGAGACAGGACTGGAACAATTTCAAAGCTGATCCTCCGATACCATAAAATTAAAGTTTCTCTAGAAGTAAATGATAGTTTATGCAGTCAACAGCTTCGCTCAGATCCCACAATGTTACAACAGTATGGTCTACATTTTCCATGTTTCTAATCTTCTCTTGGATGACTTCAAGTATTGGGTCGGTGGTGGATCTATTTTTGATGATGATAAGGATAATCTGCATTTTATCTAACTTTATGTTTTTCACCGAGTACAATCAAATTTACATGTATTATCATTCTCTCATTATTTCGAATGACAAAATGACGCATTAAGGAAACAAAGTAACATTACCACTTTCACGCATCTGAACGAGAGTAATGACCTTTCGAAATTTAGTCACGTATCCAGATAGCTGCAAAATGTAAAAAAAAAACAATTTCAATAGTTCTTCGAACTTTTGATAATCGCGGGTTAATGCATTCCCATAATAGGTTGCTAAAGGCACGATTCTCAATCAATACGTGACCTTCGTTTGATTGATTTAATTAGTTTCCCCTTATGAAAACGTTCCGAGCGGCCTCTTATTGATAACTTGGCAAGGTTCGGTGATTTTGGGACACCATTAAGACACGTTTATGATTTTATTTAAAATTATTGTTATATCAAGGAATACTTGAGGTCGGTTTTGATTTTTTTGTTTTTGATGGTTGAAAATCCTCATTTTTTGTTCTGACTACAATAGGGTGACTATTCTCTGTCAGGAACCATCCAGACTGAGAACCAAATCAGACAGGGATGAAGGAATAGGAATCATTAGTTTTACATTCCATTTGATTGGCTGTGAATTCGATAAATTCTAGTTTCCGGTTATGATTTTGTTTCTTCGAGTAATAACTGGGGGCATATTCAATTATCAAATAATGACATATCCTTAATATGGAATGGCTGAATATCTCAATATTAAATTTAGATTTCTCTGAAATTCAATTTTTAGAAGAGGAATGCGAATGATTCTAATCAGTAT